ACCGTCCCACTGTCACTGTTTTCGTCCTAACCTATTTTGCTCCTTTCATGTGGTGGTCAGGCTTATGTACTGCGTCGACTCGGAGGACTTTGCTGAACGAGACATTGATCCTACCAGATTCAAGCTTTGTCAGACAGGCCAAAGGGGAGCAGCCAGACGAAAAGCAGTTACACTCATAGGATTGTATGTCGCACTACTGACCGCGTAGGAGTGCTTAGGTAGTGAGGCACGATCCTATGGGCATACAGCAGAACTATTTTTTTTTATAGTTGCGGCACTGCTGTCTTCCGATTAAATAGGAGCGGGGGTTAGAAAAAATAACCTGAACCAAAAGACCACTTCAAACACTCAACGCTTGACCATGAGCATGGGCGTATTTTCCGTTATGGTCGAAAAACATTGGTTGTCATTCAAAAGTCCTATGTGGTCTCGAATACATCTTCGCGCAGCAGCGTTCAGAATCGAACAGCGTTGTCTTATTCCCTGCGTCCTCGGGCTAGGCAAGCCTCTCTTCGTCAACTGAGTAGGACTATTGAGTCTGGTAGGGCCCCCAGGTAGGGTCCTCCAAGTAAACTCTATCTCCTGCTATCTCGCTGGTGAGACAGTTGAATCAGGGACTCAGAGTGGGGTCCAAATCAATCTCTTTGCGTCTCATAAACGACCGGAAAGTATTAGAAGTGATCGTTTTCCCGAGAAGGACGTTATTCATCCATTATCACTTTCTTCCTTCTTGACCCTCAACTTTTCCACTTTACGTGTACTGCCGGATGACAGTTGTTTTCTACAGCTAGGGCAAAAGGTAAACATTGATGCTTTCGATTTCCTCAATTCCTGGACAAATTAGTCAACAAGCTGCTTTGGCAAGTACTCTTTCAGTTCTGGAACGTGATGTGAGCTGTGTATCGAAGACGTGAATGTGCAACTTTATCACCGTTATTCATTCGAGCCTGCCTTTAGGTGATTGTCCATCCAAGCGCTTCTCTCTCAGGGTTTCTGGTGACACTGAAGCTGAATCTCGTGGTCAAGCTGGAGTGGGAATCGCACTGAGTTCCAGAGCAGAGCAATGTTTGATCGATTGGATCCCAGTGAACAGTCGCTTGTGCGCTGTCAGACTCAATACATCGGTAAAAGTCTGTCGACGCAAATCAGAAAAGTTATTTGTATTCGTTATATCTGCTAATGCCTTCCTCGACCTTCTGACTAAACATCCTAACACTGTCATACTAGCCGACGATTTGAGTGCTCAACTTGGTCATTTTTCTCCAGAGAAGAAGTAGCAGTGAAATAAGTTTGATTTCCCCGTACACCGCACTGGCAATGGCTAACGACTGGTGCATCTGCGCGCATCTCACATTGTGTCATACAGGTGGCAACACTGTTAAAGAGTGTAGTTCATTTTGGAGCAACCGTCTGGAACCGGATCATCATGCTGTTGTGCTTGCCGGTCTGTTTTCTCATCCGCTCTGAGGTCTACATCCGTATATGGACATCTGTCTCGGGCGTCCATCACTTTTGGTGGTGTTTCTCATGGGTTTACGACCTCTCCTTTGTTCAGTTTCATCATCGACGACATTCTAGAAAATGCACTTAAGGGATTCAGTGAGCTCGCTGTCAGGTTTGTTTCTGGTGCTAGATTAAGCAACATGGAGTATGCGGATAACATTGTCTTACTTAGCCCCTCTGCCGAAGACATGCAGACCATGCTGAACAAGGTGAGTGACCGGGCTGGTTTGTATGGAATGCGCTTCGCACCTTCAAAGTGCAAAGTGTTACTTCAAGACTGGAGCATTGCTCACTGATAGGTTTTTTTTTATTTCTGGGGATTCGCTTGAGACTGTAGACAGTTTCACTACTTGGGTAGCACTCTCGTCAGCTTGTAATATTGCTGATGAGATATCAACGAGGATAGCAAAGGCACGAGTTGCCTTTGCCAACCTGCGTCATCTGTGGCGTCGGAAAGACGTTCGATTGTCGCTGAAAGGAAGAGTATACGTTCTATTTTACCCTGTGGTTCGGAGACACGTGGCCAATTCGCAACGAAGATGTCAACAGACTCGCTGTTTGACCATTTTTTTTATCCGCCAGTTATTTCACATCAAGTGAGGTGATCACGAGAAGGATACGGCCGTTCGCCGGCACGTATTCCGGAACGCTTGGGATACGTGATCAGTTAGCCAACTAATCACGCCGCCAGCTGAGCGTTTACCGTACCGGACATTGTATACTAAAACCATCAGCAGTTGGAGTGAAACCGCATGGTGGTCAAGCAACTTGACCGCGAAATGTAGAAACCTTTACTGTTCCACTGAGCAAAGTTGGTTAGTGTCTTGCTTGGTTGGGGTCCTCGTGATCACTCAAATCGATGGCTAGAAGCGTTACCCGAGATGGCAATGTGGTTGTCAACGACGTATCTGCATTTATGCTGTTTCTAGTTCCTCCACTTAAACTTCTTTTATTCACTTTAACCTTTTTATTAACGTTTCCTCCCGGGATATTCCACATTACTGTTGAGGTCGGCGGCGGCCAGTGCCACAGTACCTTCTGATAGGGCTCGAGCTCGTTGTGAATGAATGGCCGAATAAATCGTCAGCCGGTTGATCTGGCACATCTGTCCTTCAACGAAAGTGTTTGTTCTAAGGTCAACCAACCGACAACACCTTGGTTTTGTAAGTTCTCTGGTTTGAGTGTTTGGGCGTCAGCCTTTGCACAGTACAGCATTGTAAGTGGTGAGGAATTCAAGGCAATAACATGGCCTCCAAACTGGATGCAACTTTCTTTGCTCTAATCGTCATGGCTTCACGAAAGTCCCAGTATGTCCTGGACGGATTTCGTATTTATGTTTGGCTGGTTCTGCTGAAGCGCGTAGTCCACATCAGAAACGGACTTGAATAGCCTGTGAGGCTTTGTGAACATACTTATACACTCCGCGTTGGTGGTGCAGTTTGGCGCGTGACTGCTAGGAGAAAAACTTTGAACGTTCGATACGTCCATTGCAGTCGCTCTGTTCTGCTCTTCAGAAAACGATTCTCATATTTTGTTAAGCAAGCTGGATTGTGAAAATACACGCGGAAGATGCTATTGCCGTCGAGGTGACGTTCCTACGTGATTGCGGATCTGTGCTGTTAAAGGTTTGAACTTTAGTTTACGTCAACTTTGACAATATTACAATGCATTGTTTTAACTGCAATGTAATGTTACAGCAAAAATCCGGAAAACATTATAAGCAGAATCATTTCACATCGGAGTGATATATGTCACATCTAACGAAAAAGAAAACCTCATCTGTTGCTGCAACTTTCACCGCCAGCTGGCCAACGGAACGAAGATTCTCAGTTGTTGCCAAAATATTTTTCTTTGCCGCGAAAGTATTTGTTCGTTTCAGTTTCACTCCATTGTTGTGTCCATACTTTAGGGGTTATGTCACCACTTCCGCAGCCCACTGTACATACCCACCGCTCTTGTGAAACTAGTTATGTAGGCTGCACAACGGGCCGTCTTTCTGAGCGGGGCTAAGGACATCACTTGGTCTGACTCAGTTATAGGATATCCAATCCAATAACCCAGCATGAACGCACCGGATTGATTTAAGTTGTTCCATCAGTGACGGTAATGCTTTTCGTTCCATCTACTGAGTGAGCACTGCCCGTTGAAAGTAGTGAGGTGTTGAATTCAGCCCTCAGCTAAAGCAATAGAAATTCGCTCATGAAACTCACCTCGATGTGTCCCAGGCCCCAAAATTCTTCCTGACCCCCTCCACTCTTTACACTGGTCAAGAATCGTTAGTTAACGTTTTGATTGCCCTACGGCATTTCTTTACAAACTTATTGTTTTTAGGTTGTCCTGACAATTTTCGGCTGGGAGAATATTCACATGTGTGTTATATAGCGTGTTACAATTAATTATATTCTGCTATTATATATTATCATTATATTGTTGTATTTACCACGATGGGAATGTACGTGTTCCTCAGTGGTTTTGTTTCTTTATTGTTTGATTACTTAGAAGTAGTCAGTTGCATCACGAAATAATGTTATCCTGTTTTCTCAGTTCATATTTTATTTAGCAGATGAATGGTAACGATTTATTGCTGATTAAATATGTATATTTGCTGCAGGAACCCGATATGGTGACACCCCCTTCCCTGTACAAAGTCGCCGCCCTTCTCGTTTCTGAAGGTTTTGTGAATTTGGATGTTTTATACAGTCATGTAAGTATTGCTCCGCGTTAGTTATTTTCGATTTTTGCTGTGGTTGCACCGTCTCGCTATTTATATCAGATTGTCAATTGTTTTTGAGGAAGGGAAAAAGGAAACCGTCGTATGTATTCATCGACGATTTTGTACTTTTTAAATCATTATGCCCTAATTCAAGTGTGCATCATCCCCATGATTGGGTGTGGTTCTCTTCTACCTTTACTGTTCCACTGTTCTACCGTATTGATTAGCACACTGACGCTAGCTGAGTGTTACCGACGCGTACCAAGAATCATAAAGTTGTGAGATCAATCCCGTGTTCCACCTTAGTTTGAATACCATTTGACGATATCCAACCTCCACGTACGAACTAGTTTTTCACATGGTATCTAACATCTAATAGTTTAAGCGTTGAACGCAACATGTTTTTTAGTAAGTAGCTTGATTGTGTTATATCTTATTTTAAATACCTGGAGTCATGTTTGTTCGTTCATCAGCTTGATGCGAATTTCCTCATGCTTTCCCTTGCCTGGTTGATCCCGTAGCCAACAAAAGAAAGGGATACCTAGGTTTTACTTAGTATGTGTATTAGCTGCGTACCAAAACGCACTCTGTTTAGATGAGACTTGATTACGAAAAATCCGGGCCTTGGCTGGATCTGAACGGCGTGAAGGCGTGCCAAAATACGGCAAGCACTCTATCTGCTCCTATACGAAGCCACGCCGAAGACTCGGAAATTGTGTTGCTATTCAGGGATTTGTCAGATTTTCCAATTTAAATGAGACCTAACTTTGAAAAGTCACTACATGGCTTCTTAGCTCAGCTCTTATAGCGCTTGTTTCATTTAGGTGCGATGTTTCTGTTGCTGGTTCGAATCCAGCCGAAGCTCTGACTTTTCACAATTGGGTCTCATCTGAATTATCGAATCTGCTAAACTACCCATCATACTCTATTTGTGGTACAATTCTACAAATTGGGTTTGTTTTGTCACTTAGTTACTTTGAAGGATGTGATGAACTTCAGTCATCTCGCTTTCCCTCTAACTCAATTTGACTACGGTGTTCTTGTCGTTGTGACTGCATTTCACACGAAGTTACAAGACATGCCGTCAGCAGAGCTATCTCACTATGTATACACTGGTGAATAGCACCAAAATGTTACCTTTCCACAGGAATGCAGTTTGTTAGCACTGCTGACCTACTTGTCGAGACGTCATCGAACGTATTCTGTGTCGGCAACAACGTTCGTTATTTGGTCTGTCGTCATCGAACGCGAAACAGATAGTGCCAGTGTCGTTATATTGACTTCAGACTGCAAGGTGTGCGATCTCAGTATGAAGATATTCCTTAACTCATTATGAGCTGCCTTATATAGACCTCAGACAGCCAGTACGTGTTTTCTGTATGAGCGAGCGAAAATTTGTTCGGTGAGCATTCGCATGGATAGACTAGTTTTATCTTCGGCCTCCTATGCTTACATCTGCACTCTAGTTGTAGAGACACGAAAAGTGGAATTAAATTTGTAGTTCATGTTTTTATTCTCGTCTATTCGACTATCAGTTCAACAACTAATGCCGTTAACAACGCCAGCTTAGAGTAACATACAGCCTCTATACTATGGCTAGGCTGATAATCTGTGTCGTAGTCGCGACTAGATTGCATAACGCCTCAGGCGGTTTGTGAACGCATTGGCCCATTTTGATGATGCTCGGCGTATGCTTCAGCTTGTACAACCTTAGTGTCTGCCACTATGTAGTAGCATCACTAGACCTTTCGAATTGGGGGCTTCTGTTCGACATGTGGTTTGTCGAACTAGCTGTTGTTACCATGTCCTAAACGACGCTCAAATCATTCTAATTACGTTTCTTCGAATGTGTACTCGTGGGATCATTTATCTGCAGACAGGGAGCCGTCAGCTTTGCATACTGCTTCGACTCATTAACCCTTGTTTGTTCATTGTGGCGCACTTATTTATGGTTTTTCTCGACTTCGTAAGCTGGTTATTTGATGCCCAGTACGTGTATGCTAGACTGCGTGATGTGCATGACATTTTCGATTACCGGCGTTTAGGCGAGCAATCTTCACCAGTCGTGGTAACAGTTTTATGCTTGTGTCATCTAGTTTTCCAGGCTGAGTTGTCTCAAATAGATTATGAAACTACGGTTGCGATACCACCATTCCAGGCCGAGCATATTCAAGCCGAACAAAGATCGCACGATTGTTGGGCTCAGCTGTACCCATTATTTGATGAGATCGATGGTTCGTTGCTTGTTCCTTTGTTGTCTCAGCTTACGCCGTAGGCCTGTCTACACAATTTACGCTGCTAGGCGAAAATGATGGGTTTTAGGACGTCGACATACACTTGACGTGCTGTGCTCTTCAATAAACCTGCAATCCGAATGTTGCTCCGGGACTCACAAGTGTTTGGCCGTGGTTTCTGGAATAGTTTTATGTGCTGAATTTCGTAGTTTATATTGTCTGACGTTGAACAACGATGCCAGTAAACACACTCTCACCTTCCATTTCCCGGTTTGCTAACCATAATGCTACAACTCGAACCGAACAAGTTCGGTGGAAAACAACTGCAGTGCGCGAATTGATCTATTTTTCAGAACGATTTCTGTAGGGCGCAGTTGCAATACTGTGATTCGGACGAATTGATTTGCAAATGATCTTTATGATTCAGCTGCTGAGGAGTATGCGTAGATGTGGATTAGTTAGCACTTTTGGGCCAGAGTTAGTGGTCATTTCTGAGCGGCAAATGTGTGTGCGTTGTTCACAGTTTTCCCCCACTAGTTTCACACATGACGGATTTGGGCGTTGGACACTATTGAAAACAGCTTATCGTTCGATTGTACTAATTTATTCGGTATATGATTCACCGGTTAGCTACAGATGATCGGCCCAATTTTAATTGCGATCAACAGCTTGTTTTCAATAATCGGTCAGTAGTTTCTAGCTTAACGTCACTATTTGACTGGCTTAATCCTAGGCTGTACCATCCACTCTCCTTGCCGAACAGAGGGATGCGTGTTAACCGACTCCTCATTAGGTCTCCACCATTTGCTTGGCATGATACTGGTTTACTGTGCAATCTTCTAAACTCCCAAGATGAAACTAATCTACACGTATATTTATGGTGTTTCTGTTTCTGAGCTTAGTGTTTCAGAGTTAATTTTGCCCAAACTTTGTCTTTTCTTGTCAGTCCACATCTATAGTGTGGGTTACAGTGTTACTCAGCAGTACTCGTTTCTGTCCGCATACTTGCTTATTTTATACCTAATTTGTACGTTTCGTTGTATGAAATCCGGACGATTTTTCCAGAGCTCTAAAATTGTCGCGAAGAATATTCTATACTTGATTATTCAGTTAGTTAGGCTGTTGATGACCGGTGTCGAAAAAATGTTGATACAAAAGTTTTTGCTATAGGGTTCGATAGTAGACTGAAGTTACTAACTTCATCAATGCAGAAAGAAGACATATGTTGCGATATGTTAACATTTCGTTTACTCTCATCAGTCGCAAACGTAAAACATGCGAGTTATATATGACAAATAGAGATAGACAGGGTATGGACACGCATACAGTCACACCACGTGTTACGTCATCACCACCAAGGCAACCCTATGGGTTGCTTCAACCACTTTTGTGCACATAGCACCGGCTGGTGAGTTCTGATCAACATGGCTTCGCTAAAGGCCAGTAGCTTCGGGTTCTGTTGACGTAACAATATTTTGAATGATTTAACTGGGTCAACCTGGTGACCTGTTATCATGAGGTGTCTGGCAATCGATGATGCGGGGCTTCGAGTGACGGATTCACCGGTTTCAGATTGTGTGAGTTGTTTTAACCAGTTCGGGACGTGTTCTGCTACTCGCTGAGATAACTGTCGGTCTGTTCTGCCTATGTAAACGTCACCGCAACTGCAAGTGAACTGGTAGACAACGTGAGAGACAGAATGGTCAGACAAACTGCGTTCGCATGTTTTACGTTTGCGACTGATGAGAGTAAACGAAATGTTAACATATCGCAACATATGTCTTCTTTCTGCATTGATGAAGTTATTAAAGGGAACCCAATGTTTCAAGTTACCAAACCTCTCCAGCTGTTTCTCAGCAATGAGTAAGCCATGAATACGTCGACAGTATATTGTCATCGTGGACTGTGACTCTCCGTGTGTGAATAGACTTTCTGCTCCCGCCCCCTCTGGATCTTGATTATGATCAAAGTTAGATGGAATGCACACTTCTCTTCTGTCAGGCACACACTGTGTTACAGATTTCATTTGTCCACACTGTCCAAACTTACCGGTGAACCTATTGGGTAAAGCTTTTCGAGATTCCTTACTGCTGATGATGTTCACATCTGTCCATTAACTACGGTACAACTTGCGGGTATCCTTTGTGCAGTTATCCTGCACCGTAGAAATATGCTTATTCTTATGTTAAGTATGCTCTGTTTTCTCTCGTTGTTGAGAATCTGCTGAAATCGCCTACTAGTCTCAATGTTTTCTATCGCACCCTACTATTTGAACTTTTATGCGCCTGCTTTCTTTGTGTACTAAGGTTTCCATCTGGTCGCATCTATACCCAACATCTGTAGATTCTTCGAGCTCCAGCGTTTTTATTTACAAGCTCGAAACATTCCCGCAACTCATGCGATGTTTTTCAAAATCGTTGGTGTCGATCAGAATTCCCTGCACTTTTGCATTCGCCTTACCGTTTTCATCCCTAGCTCAGTCAAAATTATTATGCATCATTTGGTCGTAGTGATAACCTGATGTTACTTTTTCTTTCAAGTTCGTTTGCAGAGGATATTTCTGCGAGTGGCTTTTGCGGTTGTGTAGCATATCTACCGGTTTTAGGTGCCTTTTTCATATGGCTCACTGTATTTCACCATGTAGTACTAGTAGTAGGTAGTAGTAAGCCCATTTACCCCCCAGAACTGGACCCCACTGTCTATTCCCATAAGTCATAGTTTCGTTTTGTTTCGGAGAATTTGAAAACTTTGTATGTTTACTTGCTTATTTGTTGGCGTGTAAACCACCTGCCAGTAATCATCTCGCATAATTCAGTGTAACCGTCAAATCGAGTGTCGTTGCGCTTTTCGAGCTGGCAGGTTTATCGTCCTTCCATTCATTGAGGATGCACACGTTTGTGTGTATGTGCGTGTGCGTTTAGGCTACCTCACTGTTCAATTCTTGCTTCTCCAACCCATCGTGTCCCAAAGTATCGCATAGGCTAGGTGATTGATCTGCTGGTCATTCGTTTGGCAGTTTTGCTTATCAAACTATCAGATCAAGCCTCATTGTCATTTTCTTGTTCCCCAGGTCAATTCAGTTGTTCACATTGATTTTCCTAATCGCTTGCGATGAAATGTTTAGTTGATGTTCATCGAACGTTCGATTTCGAATTTCTTTCCCTTCACTTTCGGTAGCCAGTGAAACCAACTAAAATATTGAAAATCTGTATTTTACTCATGGTGGTCAATACACATTTCACTAAAACATGCAAAAACCATTAATTCAAATGTGCTTCACACAACTGAATAGATTCATTCAGAATGTGCTCACTCAACACGCGTATCACCTATGAGACACGTCGCTAGCGTTTTGACGAACAGCAATGCAGACGTTCGTGCAACTTTATCACAGGCGCCTACTCCATATCGCCAAGTGTTGTTCTTGGGTCGAGCGACAGGCACAATAAAACATCCGTCGAAAAGTACGACGAAATGTGGAATTGAACGAGTGATAGACCACCGGATTAAGCATAGAGCTCAGATAACCGAGCCACTCTAAATAAGGGATTACCAAATTAGTCCAAGTTTCGCATGCGACGCAGACTACGTTGATCACATAGACAATGAAAAAAGGCAGGTAGCACGCCAC